AGGGGCTCGAGTACACCCGTGAGCCTTGTGAGGATAAGCGGTTCCAGATAATGGATGGATGATTATTATTTATAACGGGGATGCCCAAGTCCGAGCCTCAAGAGCTCCTTTCCAGCCTGTTTTAGACGACTCCCTCCTCTAACACATCTGATTCAAATGATGAGGATCCTTATCAGGTTTCTGCAAAGCTTGCCAATTAGCTGATCATTTGAATAAGGTGTGTTGGAAGAGGGAGACGTCTAATACAGGATGGATAGCGGCTCAGGAGGACTGGACTTGGCAACCCCTGTTGTCGTACAGTGAACTTCCACAATATCCCAAATTCCAAAATATCCATCAATACATCCATTCAACTCCAACAATAACAAATTGAACTTATCAAAACACGCTGCTCATGCCGTTTGCTGCTGGCTTGACTCATGCACATCTACTGTATTTTATCAAGGTCATTAGACATCCACTTGAGTCTGTTCATGGTTTTGAAAAGTGCTTTAATCACTAATTGGGAATTTTTCCATTGCGAGACTAATAAAGGTTTTCATATCTTATCTTATCTTATTTTATAAACATAGATTAAGACACGGTAAGAGTAGCGTGTGTTTCCGCAGGTCAACGGTGCCAAACTGAGCCTTTTCTCCCACGATGCCCAAACTGAAAGCCCCTTATTGGACACTTATAAAGACGGGATAATGATGACATAACAAACATAAACAGTGACATACTTCTTATCTCTTGAACCATACACACGAGTTTGATTTCTTTGGGCCTGTTCTCACGCTCTTGCTGTCAAGAAATGAGAGACTGTCATATGACATCACTTTGAGGAAATGAAATGAAGAGTCTCTTGTTTACGCAGTTCACCGAATAAGCAAAGTGTGCTTAGTTCAAGCTGTTTATTTGTCACTCCCAATAAAACTGACAGATAACACAATGGAGAGTTTAAACCTTGTCTATTTAAACATGAAAATGTTCAACTAAACCATACCATTTAGTTGAACAAAAATCTGCTAGCATAATGCTAGCATAAGGCTACAACTAACGATTATCTTATTCATTGAAGAGTCTGTCAATTATCATTTTGATTAATCGATGAATCAGATTTTTAAAAGTTTTTATTTCCATCCCTTTATTCAGAAAGAGGACATTATTTCAAAATGACCTTGCAGACAAACATAAATTGAAAAAGATTCATTTTGTGGTTTATTTTTTAAATTGTCAGAAAATAGGCAAAAATGTTGATTATTGTTTTTGAAAGTAAAAGCAAATGTCTTGGATTAAACACAAAGATAATCAGTCTGCTTTCATGGACTACAAAACTAAAGAAATCTGTGCCTCTTGTAAAACAAGACAAAGTGGACCAGCATCTCAAAAAGAGATTGTGTTTGAGGTCTGGCAATTCACTGGACACACATTTTTTTAGCGTTGCATCAAAGAACAGATTGGGAGAAAAAAAATCAGGATGTAGCTTATGATCAGGAAGAGGAACAGGATAGGTGGGGGCTTAAGTAGAAGAATATTTTATATGTTTGATGCCAGGTGCTTTCTGGGTATGTGTGTACTAGTTTACATGTGAGGGAATGAGGCTGTTCGTGCACACTCTAATATTATAATGTCAGACATGCTCTGAGGGGGCCAAGGGAGCAGGCGTGGCTCTGACTGGACTTTTTGGCCTGATTTTTGAATGTTTTTATCACAGGGTGGGGTGGGGTGGTTTTTTTTGTTTGTTTGTTTCTACTACAATCACACTGAAAATGGTTATCATCACTGATCTTCCAGACAAATTTTTTTCCTAAATTGCATACTTATCAATGATATCTTCTGTTATGCTAATCTTAATTTCTAGCCAAGTATAGAGGGACTTTTGGCAAAAAGCTGTGTTAACTTGCACTCAGTAGCATACTTGCACAATGAATCAGTGCGGGCTCGGTGGAACAGCTTCAGTAGAGATTCAATAGTTTTGAAATTTAACTATTGTTTCTTATGAACGATTTTAATTCCTACCACACCCCCCATCGCCTTTTCAAAACTGCTGTGAGAAATAAAGGTTGTTTCAACATTCTATTATTCTTACAGCTAAATAACAAAAATCTTTGCCTATGTTTTTAAATAAAAATAATCCCAAATTACATTCCTCATGAAAATTTTGGGATATTTGGCTTTGGGTTGAACGATCAGAACTTTTACAGGTGAACCTAAATTGACATTTTCTAAACTATTCAAAGAAAAATAACATGACAAAGAACTAAATGTCCAAATTCATAGCTTGTGTTTGTTCCATGAAACTCTCCAACGAGGCCCACTTCCATGCCTTTCTGTGAGTCTTACCTTTCGATTGATTGTTAGGTGTCGTCTTTGTCTCATGATGTCCAAATGCGAACAATAGGATGAAAAGGACTATTTCATTGTCAACTCTAATTGAACCAGTAAATGTATTCGTCCATTCAAGGATCAAACAACTGTTGTTTTACCCTTGTGTTCTAGTAATTTGGTGTTATTGTTGAGGTTCACAGCTATACAGTATGAGTCAAGGCAAAGATCAGATCCAGTAATTTGGTGTTATTGTTGAGGTTCATCTATGAGCCTCAAATACATGCAGCAGCTATACAGTATGAGTCAAGGCAAAGATCAGATCTTCTGATTCGTCTCATGTTGTTGATAAATTGACCTCATTTTGGCAAGGCAGGAATTTTCCTATCCTCCAAGTGACTATCACGTTTATAACAATAGATTTACATCATAAGCGTGGGAATTGTGTGTGTGTGTGTGTGTGTGTGTGTGTGTGTGTGTGCGCGCGTGTGTGTTTGTGTGTGTGTGTGTGTGTGTGTGGGTGTGTGTGTGTGT